GATTTGTGATGATGTCATAAGACTTCTAATTGAACACATCAATTTAGTCTTGGCTGGGCATGTAACGTCCGTAGATCTGAGCTAGTCAATTTAGAGATAATAGGGGTCAAAAATGACTTTTGACAAAAGATCATCTAGAATAAATAATCTTAACCAAGTATTAGAATATGTCTCAAGGGTTCCGTACATATAAAGAACGTCGAAATTCGAGTTATAACCAAGAAGTTATGGCCCGTCGAAGTTTTACGGCAAAACCAACACGATACCGGGAGACGTAAATAGTGAATTTACGATAGAGGACTTTTTAGCCTTAGTGATATAAATGAAAGTTGTAGTATACTTTAAACCAAGAGCATGCAAAAAAGAACGCCCAAATCTGACTTCGTATGAGGAAGTTATGAATTTTCTAAGATTTGACATAGCAATGCACGACTTGAAACTCGAATTTTAGTTCGAGTGGTTTTTGGCCTATGCGACCTAAATGAAAGTTGAATATCTCATTAATAGGAACTCAATGATAAAAATACAGATGAAAACGGAGTCCGTATGTAGAAGTTATGAATTTTACACAGATATTTTGATGGGTTTTGGTCATAAGACATCCTATGTGCTCATACAAACCCTAATGCTTGGATCTAGGTTTCTCTATTGTACATGCTTTGAATCCAAGACTATAAACCCTAATTCTAGTATATGGAAATCGATATTAACATATAATTAGGTTTAAGATATTACCTTGATTGTTATGTAGCAATAACAATCCTAATTCCTCCTTGAATTGACTTTCGAAGGCTTAGAGTCACAAGTGTCACTCCTCTAATGGCTTACAAACACCAAGAGCAAATGGAGAAGGTATAAAGAGAGAGGAGAGAGGTAGGAATTCGTCCTTAGGACTTCTTGGGAAGGCTTACACGAATTCATGAGCCTTAGGGGGTTTATATAGGTGTAAAGATTAGGGTTTTAGTCCTTATACTTATCTAGTTGCTTGCCCACCAAGTAACCATAAGATAAGTCTTAGAAACCCTTATCCTAGTCGAATTCTAAGGCATTATCTCTTTAAATTCGTTCACCCTATATTTAAGATAATCTTTACCTTATTTTGCAACTATCACATAATTACAAATCAGCCCCTCTAGTTTAATTAATTACACTTGATCACAAAATTAATTCATAATTAATTATTGACCAATATCAATTAAACAAATATGATTTCTCCTTTGATATATTATTCTTATAACATATTAATAAATCATAATAACCTCTCTCTCTTTATTTATTTCTCCAATCAAGTTGCTTTGGTGAAGGCAACCCAAAAGGACCATGCACCATCGGGTCAAGTACATACCAAAATAGTTATGGACTTAGACACTAATCCAACACATTTAACATTATAATCTCCTCATACTGTTAAATTTAAGATCGGTTGAGAATTAGCCGACGGAGTCTAAATGAAAGTTGTATATATTGGTTTTACCTACACGTGGATATAAAGAACGTCTAAAACGGAGCTCGTATGTGAAAGTTACGGGGTTTAGAACTCGGCAGAGTGCTGTGCGAAATCGGGTGACGTGGCTGAATATGGGCCAAGGCTTTCTCCCCAAGGCAAGCCACCAGAAGGTGAAATGTGGCATGGAATCGATGAGTAGGAGGACCTACTCAACAAGTAGAGCTGTTTTCCTGCCTATAAATAGAGGTGTCGGGTTCCCTCATTCTTCACATCATTCCAACCTTTTCTTTGTCTCTCTAAACTCTCTCTCTAGCCCCCAAAACCACCCCTGAGCCTAGGTAAACCCCCTACCACCCGAAGGAAGCCCAGAGAAAAGAGCCTTTCGGCTCGGAAACACTGTTCCAACGAAGCCCAATTTTTGAGAAAACCCGCTGTAAGTGAGCTATGCCTACTCTATCTTTAGTATAGCTTATGTTTCAATATAGTAATGTTATTAGGACCTTATAAGGAGTATTTGGGCTATTATTATGGGTTATATAAGTATTGTATAATGCTTACATAATAGTAATAATAGCTAGACTATTAGTTAGTCTTGTCAAACATTAGACTAAACTCTAGTGGTAACGATACTAGGTTTTGTCCGAGGAAAATTGTTTTAATAGTAACGAAGTGTTGTTCGAGTGCTGATTCACCACCTTCTCTGGTGAGTGCATAGTTACTTTCATCTTACACATAAATATGAAGTATTTTATATAAATTACGTGCTATGTGTGCATACTATCTGAATACTTGCAGTCTATGCTGGATGAATGATTTTATACATGTTTAAAATGATTTAAACTGTATATGTATTTTATATCTAAAAATATGTTGGGTATGACATGGGTAGATGAATACTGAGAGATAGAAGATGATGTGAGTAAACATTGTCAGCTATAGACTTAGTTCCTAATAAATAACATCGGCAACTATAGACTTAGTGCCTATTGGACAAACACTGGTAACTATGGACTTAGTACCTATTGGGTAAACACGGATGGCTATGAACTTAGTATCTGGTAGCTATGGACTTAGTGCCTGTTAGGTAAACATTGGTAACTATGGACTTATGTAACGCCTGTGTTTCTGGGCTTGCCATTTTTAGCAATGTAATAGTCGAGGTTAACCTTTGTAACCCGTTTTGAAATAATAGAAGTGTATTATTTGAGTATTATGTGTTTTGTGCTTAATTGCTTAATTATGTGGTTTAATTAATTAAGAATAAAAATAAGCGTCAAAATTTAAGTATAAAATAAACTTGATATCTTTAGATAATGTTGTAGTAGTTGAAAAAACGTTTCCGAAGATATAAAGAATGCCGAAATCCGAGTTATAACGAAGAAGTTATGACATGTCGAAGTTTCGTGACAGAACCGACAACGCTGAATGACGTAAAAAGTGCAATTTACGTTAGAGCGATATTTAGCCTTACTGATCTAAATGAGATTCGAAGATCTCGTTGTTAGTATCGAAGCGATAAAAAGTTAGGCGAGAACGGACGTCAAACGAAGAAGTTATGAATTTTTAACGAAATTTTCTATCCCGGCCTATTAAAAATAAATAATAAAAATAGATCAAAATTAGCCGACGGAGTCTAAACGAAAGTTGTAGAGCGTAGTCTCACCTTCGTGTGGATATAAAGAACGTCGAAAACGGAGTTTGTATGAAGAAGATATGAATTTCCGAAGTTTATTAAATAATTTGTATTTAAATTTAATCTTTAATTCCGGCCTTATCCGAAGGGGAGTCACTGATATGATCTGAGGTACGCCCCGCGTACTCGTGTACGACCTGCGTACGCTGAGAAGTGTCGGCACTTCGGATGACAAGCGCCATGACGACTTCGGAGCAGTACGCCCCGCGTACGGCGAGGCCTCAGCCTCCTATAAATAGGATGCGAGGGCAACCGACTCCTTTGCTATTTTTCTCCCTTCTCTCTCCCGTTTTGCATCGTTTTGCGTGCCATAAATACCCCGAAGCCCCAGTAATATTCCCGAGTCCCGAAGCAAGTTCCGAGATCCCGAAGATCCCGAGAAATGCGATTCCCGAGCCGAAGCTCTGCCCGCGAGAAGTTCGATTTTTGTAGAGATCTTCCATATCTGCTGAGGATTACTACTGTTGCAAGTCGTAGTGTTGTCCGATCATCTTCTGATCAAGTGAGTGTATACTACCTTTCATAAACACGATAATAATACAAGTATGATTTGAGTGTATTAAGTATATTGTTGTTTATATGTGTGAATGTGTGGTTACTTTCTTCTAACGCATAATTATGAAGTATTTTATACGAGATACGTGTTATGTGTATATTTTGTTGTTATGTGTGTGAATGCATATTCATTGTCTTCTATCTTACAGATCTGATTATTTCTATATGAAATACGTGTTATGTGTGTGTGCCTCATCTGTTATGTGGAAATGTATTGATTTAGTATGCTATACAGGTTTTGAAACTATGTATAAAAATGTATGTTTTATCTACTAATATGTTGGGTAGAAAATAAACAGATGAGAGGCCTCGATGTTGTTTTGATCCAGTCATCTAGCGGAATTTAGATGACGACCACAGACTTTTCTAGACAGTCCAGTGGAACGCTAACAGGCTCATAACCTGTAGGTGTTAATGAACTTGGGTGTTCATTCGCTGTATTCCATCCCCCTCATGGTTGCCTTATTTGACTTATATTGCTGAGGAACCCCCGAAGCATGTGTTGTCACCCCGATGAAATATTCTTAGACTAGGTCCCTTGTGTGAGTTATTTTAGGGACATAAAGTGACAATAACGGGAATGGGTAATTGGGTTATTGTTGGTTGATAATAATTAATTTAATTATTTATTGTGGGTTGAAAACCCTATATGCTCACCAGGCTCCCAAGCCCGACCCACTCAGTTTTATTTGTATTACAGGAAGTGGCGCAAGGGCGTAAGATGGATGAACCATCAAGTTGTTTTGTTTACAAGTCTGCATATGTATATATTTGTTGAATGACTTGTAATGTTATCGTTTATGCTTATTGGTCTGTATCGGAACATGACACCCCGAGTTTTGATTATATAATGAAAATACATTTCTTTTATGAAATGCTTGGGTAAACATTGTTTTATCATGTCTGTTCTGGCCGAGATTTTGGGGATGTCACAACTTAGTACCTACACAGGTAGCTATGGATTTAGTACCTGATAAATGAACTTCAGTAGCTATGGATTTAGTGCATTGGCAGCTATGGAATTAGTGCCTGTCTTATAAACCCTGAAAGCAAGGGACTTTGAAATGAACGAATGCAGGATATATGACTCTTATGGTAGAACCATAAGAGTAAGGAAGATAATGGGGACGGGTAATTGGGTTGATTGTTTGATGTTTAAACATAATAATTATATTATTGTGGGTTGAAAACCCTATGTACTCACCACGTTTCCCAACCTGACCCACTCAGTTTATTTATAACATAGGTGTTGATATGAAGTCACATTAAATTGAGAGATTAAGGAGATCTAAATCACTAGTGATAATGAATGTAAGTTATGTTTATGCTTATGTTTCTGTATTGACGATGACATCCTAAATGTATTAAAATGAATAAAAATACTTGTCTTCGAAAATGTTTTGATAACGTATTTACCAAATAAGGAAAGATTTCTTGTTGCCCAAGTTTCAATTTGATAGAAACTTAGAATCATACAAATTGTGACATCCCCATTTTCACGGCCAGAAAAGACCGATTTTGTTTATGCTTTATGAAAATCAGAGTACATCTTTGAATAAAAATGTTGCGGAATTTATTCCTAGAAAAAAACACGATAAATACGTTATCAAAGCATTTCCGAAGAAACATATTTTATTCATTTTAAAACATTTGGGATGTCATCATCAATACATAAACATAAGCATAAACATAACTTACATTCATTTACACTAGTGATCTATATCTCCTTAATCTCTCAGTGTAATGTCACTTCATATCGACACATATGATATAAATAAACTGAGTGGGTCAGGTTGGGAAACCTGGTGAGTACATAGGGTTTTCAACCCACAATAATATAATTATTATGTTTAAATAATCAAACAATCGACCCAATTATCCATCCCCATTATCTTCTTTACTCTTAAGGATCTATCCTAAGAGTCATCTATCCCGCATTCGTTCATTCTGAAGTCTTTTTCTTCCAGAGTTATAGGACTGGCACTAAATCCATAACTGCCAATGCTCGTTCGTAAAGCACTAATTCCATAGCTGTTGGGTACTAAATCCATAGCTACCAGTATTTATCTAATAGGTACTAAGTCCATAGCTACCAATTCCTAACAGGTACTAAGTCCATACCTACCACTGTTTAACTAATAGGTACTAAGTCCATAGCTACCAATTCCTAACATGTACTAAATCCATAGCTACCAGTGTTTATCTAATAGATACTAAGTCCATAGCTACCAATTCCTAACAAGTACTAAGTCCATAGCTACCAATGTTTGTCCAATAGGCGCTAAGTCCATAGTTGCCGATGTTATTTGTTAGGCACTAAGTCTATAGCTGCCAATGCTTACTCACATCATCTTTTATCTCTCATCATTCATCTACCCATCTCATACCCAACATACTTGTATATTTAAAATACGTATATAGTTCAAATCATTTAAAAATGTATAAAAAACGTTCATCCAGCATACACAACAAGTATTCAGATTATATGCACACATAGCACGTAGTTTATATAAAATACTTCATATCTATGTGTAAGATGAAAGTAACTATGCACTCACTTGAGAAGGTGGTGACTCGGTACTCAGACAACGCTTCGTTTACTTTAAAATAATTTCCTTCGACGAAACCTAGTATTATCACCACTAGATTTTAGTCTAATATTTACCGTGACTAATTATTAGTGTTATTATTTTTATTATTATATAAACGTTTAAACAATACTTTCCAACCACTATGTACAGACAGGGGCCAGACATAAAACACCGGAGGGCAGGACCATTATGGCGTATAACACTTCTGAAATCCAACAACCCTATGCGGCCCTTTAAACCAGATTCCCCATACCGCGAGTAGTTAAAAAGATATTATAACGACACTTATATAAGTCATAATAATAGCTTAAATATATATTATAAATTTATAATAATAATACTAATTTTAAATATAAACTATATTTAAAATAGGGTAATCATAACTTACTTACAAGGGGATTTCAGCTAGGAGTCGAGCTCTGAAGGGGCAGAACTTCGTCGCTGAATCTTTTTAAGAAAGATTCGTACAACGCTTCAGCGCTCACCTTACTATACTAAAACTACAAAAAGAGAAGTCGAATCACGAGGGACCGAAATGCTCGGGGGATAAAGAGAGAAAGACTCTTGAATCAAGAGAATGGTGCAAGAAATATTAGAGCCCAAGCCTCTTATTTATAGTAATTGAATTCACAAAAACTACCATCCATAATTATTTAATGACCTTATAGTTATATAAACAACTAAACACCCCTTTATATATATATATATATATATATATATATATATATATATATATATATATATATATATATATATATATATATATATATATATATATATATATAGACACACAAACATATATTTATATGTATTTTGTATATATAGTTGCCATTTATTCTTATATTACTTTTTTTACATTGATTGGGTTTAGGGACATCCGAAAGCCGCTTCTTTGAAAACCGTCCGATTATTATTTCTAGAGCTTTGTGCAGAACTCTTTGATGGAAACATTGCATCTGGTAATCTCAGCTATGCCACATCCCAAACACCATCGGGACAGGGATCATCTTGTTTCCATGTCTCACACGTAAAGCTTATAGACGCCCCTTCCATCAACATAGATGAAGATGATTACTTTTCCAATCATACTAATGAGCATTTTACTCAGCCACCACCTTCTGCTGCTTCACCTTCTGCTGATTCATCTTCTGCTAATTCACCTTCTGCCGCTTTACCTTCTGGTAACCCCAACAAAAGGGCTAAACCCTCAACTCTTAGACCTCGAGCTCCTAGTGCCTCACCAGATCCACCTTCGTGTGCCTCGCCTAAAGCTTCTATTACTGTTGATGATTCAGCACTGGAAATGCAAAAAGCTCTACGCCATTTGACTCAAGGTCCAACAATTCCTCAATGTTTAAAAAAGCTTGAGTTGCTCGAGTTAGGCCTAGTAGACCCTCTACGATTTTTTGCGTATCAAAATTTTGGAGGGACCATGAATATAATAGAGTTGTGGGTAAATTTGCCCAATGATCCACAAATATTAAGAGGATGGATCGAGATGACAACTACAAGTTTAGGAGTTTTAAAGGATAGAAAGATTGTTCGTTAAGTTTATATGTTTGAGTTGTTTAGGTTTTAATTGCATGTTTTGGAACTATATGGTTATGTTTTTTTTGGTTATTTGCTACTAGGATATTATTTGTCGTATTTGGTACTTGAATCTTATGTTATTTGGTATTTGAGTTCTATGTTATGTTTTTTGGTACTTGAATCTTATGTTATTTGGTATTTAACTTTTATGTTATGTTTTTTGGTACTTGAATCTTATGTTATTTGGTACTTAAGATTTATGTTATGTTATGTTAGTTGGTACTTAAGTTTTATTTTATGCTATTTGGTACTTGTGTTGATTAATAGGTTCTTAATGGATCACGACAAAAAGATACTTCTTATCATTCTAATGTACTTGTACATCCGCTACTTTTGGAAGAGGGGTGTCAAACGAGTGCAGGACAACGATTCGGAAATGACGGGACATGAATTTACATTAGAGTTACTTTACCATAATCCTCTACAATGTGTTGAAGTACTACACATGTCCCGTGAATCATTTGTCCAACTATGTGCCCATTATAGAGTAAACTACACGTTAAAGGATAGAAAACATGTATCGGTTGAGGAGAAGATGGCTATGTTTTTGATGATGATCTGTCATAACCAACGTTATGTGATTATCAAGCGGAGATTTCAACACTCAAAGCAAATGATTCATAAGTTTTTTCATGAAGTGTTGGACAAAATGTTGCTTTTCACACATGACATTATAGTACCAGTTTCTTTTAATCCGGATCCAAACATTCCGGGACATAATAGGAGGCTACGACGGATATTCAAAGGAGCACTTGGTGCACTTATTGACACTTTGATACATGTTGTTTTCCATGCAAACAAACGAGATTTATATAGAAGTAGGGGAAAAGGCAATTGTTACCAAAACGTATTGGCAATATGTGACTTTAACATGATGTTTACGTTCGTTGTGGCCGGTTGGGAAGGGATAACACACGATTCTAGAATATTATCAGAAGCATTAGCAAATCCACATGCACCATTCCTGATACCAACATCATGTAAGTTTATGGTTATTTAAATAGTTTTATCTTAGTTTGAAAAAGAAATGATTTTTATTTATTTATTTATTTATTCTTTTTTACAGATAAATATTATCTTTGTGATGTCGCCTATGCAAATATTCGAAGTTTTATGGCACTGTACCGTAATGTGAGGTATTGGCTTGGAGATTTCCGTCGAAGATGTGCGTTAACGAATAAAGAAAAATTTAACTATGCACATGCAAAACTTCAAAACGTTATTGAGCATGCTTTTGGTGTCTTGAAAGCACGTTTCCCTATATTGAAGAGGATGACACCATTCTCGTTGGTTACACAACGAAATATTACCCTTGCATGTTTCGCGTTTCATAATTTTATAAGAAGAGAGAGACTACGTGATGAGTATTTTGCACGATATGATAAACCAAATGTATCAGTTCGGAATAATAATGCAATCGTTCATGATGATGAAGATGAGATTCCAACACATAGTACTACAGCGGACCGTGAATATAGGACCCAATTACAGAATGAAATTGTCGAGCAATTGATGCAAAATATCGAATGAGAATTATTAAAGTTTGATTGTATGAACTTTATTGCAAAATGTTATTGTAAAACTAATTTGGTTGTATGAAATTTATTTCAATCTTTTAAGACTACAATTATTAAATTTTCTGTGTTTAAAAACTATTTTCGGTTTATTAAATTAGTTTATTTTAATTTTTTAATGTCTGCAGAAGTTAACAAAAAGATACACACTTCTTATTACAGTCTACAGCCGTTCAATCCACCTTTTTTGCTGCAGAGGTGGTTCCCAAACTTTATAAATTTTTGCTTCAGAAAAACAAACAACACCTAAACCAAAAAGTTGTTTTTTAAAACATGCTTGTCTTAGCTTATACATGTTTTAAGAGTTATTTGTCTTTTACAATCCAAAAAGTTATAAAAAGTTTTGAAAAATTAGAACTCGTAACTGAAATTTAATTTTTAAAGGTTAATAAAAAGTTATTTTGAAAGTCATTTTAATATGGTCAAACACTTTTTAGATTTATTGATTTTTTAAAAAATCAAGTAAATAATTTATTTTTAAATAAAATCCCAAACACTGCTTAAAACTAACCTGTCTGAAATATATCACTAATTGCCAACTTACAGTTTATTTTGTTAGTAAAATCAATTGAAAAATTTTCACTAAGAACTACCTACACATTTCCACCACCATCTTAATTTTATATGCTTATATAAATTGTTACTGATGGAATATGCCGTCGAAAGGGCTAGTTTTCTAACACCGGCGCACAAAGAAGTTTGCCCTAAGTGTTTAACTACTTGGGACCATCAAATAGCTCCGAAAAAAAATAGTTGCAACCTAGCGTTAAGCAAATTTGCAATTTTTATTTATAAAATGTAATTTTTAAAATAAATAATTATTTTGCGACATAAAATGTCTATCTAGAGATTTTTTTGGTCAGTTTATTGGTTAACCATTTTAAAATTCTAGACTTTAAACTAATCAAAGCGTTGATTTTATCTATTATATGTATTTTTCTTAATTTATTAATAAAAATATATCTCAGGAGAAACAATCATCACCAGTTTAATAATAAACAGTTAAGTACATGGCATGCATATTTTTCGATTCCTAGAACGAAAGTAAGTACCCAAACAATTTCATGTCTTATTCTGAATTATTATACAAATCATTATGATTCTATGAAGCTAATTACAAGCTATATATATTTTACATGCCAATCATGATTCATGAATCACATAATGACTCAATTACTTCCTCCAAGACGGCAAAGTTGGGATACTTTGCTCATTTCTAAAGAAGTTATCAGGATCCACCATCGTTTTCACCTTCACCAACCTTCTAAAATTTGTCTCTTTGAAATACTTGACTCCATAAACCATTCCTTGGAGATAACTATTCTTCCCATTATCAGTGACACCAATATCCAAATCCCTATAATTCAAGAAAGCTTCTCTAGGAAACTTCGACACAAATGGAGTCATGAATTCATGCAAAACCCTAGTTAGGTTTACGTTACGGTTCGCTAGGTCAACACCATCTGCACTCCAATCCGCTGCGTATTGGATCTTCGCGATGTTCCCAGCTCGATGAGGGAATGGTTTAGCAAACTCAGAAATCTCAGCCATTCGTCCACCATAAGGATTAAAAGTTAAAACTGGAAGTTGTAACTCTATCATCTTTCTGAAGATGAGCCTTAATCCTTGTTTTGAAATAGGGTTCTTTACGTAATCGGATTTTCTCTTGAGATGAGTCAGCGTTCGAGGGATTCGACTGAGTAGAGTCGTGTCAGGTGAACCAGGTGGGAAGCTGTAGTACCATAGAATTGACTGAGTCCAGTTCATTTCTTGACAGTCTGATATTTGTAACCCTAGCTCGGGAAAGCTTTGATCCATTATATTTATTAGGTTTGTTGCGTTTCCAAGATATAAACTTGGGAATGAAGCACGTATTGTTTTCTCCCCGTTTGTGTTGTTCACAACGTCGAAAACCATTCGGATGAAGAGATCGTTGTCTAATTTGTCGGCGACTTGTAGCCACCGGTGGGCAACTCCGGTGACGTTTTGTTCCGATATTCTCCTCACTTGGAAGACAGTTACTTTATTGGGAACATGAACTAGGTTTATTTTGTATGAAATAACTACTCCGAAGCTTACTCCTCCGCCACCGGTGATAGCCCAAAACAAATCTTCACCCATTGATTCACGATTCAGAAGTTTTCCATTAACGTCAACGAGCTCAGCGTCGATGATATTATCAACAGAAAGACCGTATTTTCTCATCATGTTACCGTATCCTCCACCACTGAAATGACCACCAACGCCAACCGTAGGGCAAACTCCGGCGGGGAAGCCATGAGTGTTGCTTTTTTCGTTGATTCTATAGAAAAGTTCGCCGAGGGTTGCACCAGCTTGAACCCATGCAGTTTCTTCTTCAATGGAGACGTTGATTGATCGGAAGTTGAACAAGTCGAGGATAAAGAAGGGTTGGTCGGCGACGTACGATAGACCCTCGTAGTCATGACCACCGCTTCTGGTTTTCATCAATAACTTGTGCTTTTTAGCGCATTTTATGGAGGCCTGAACATGAGAAAGGTCTAAAGCGGTGATGATTATTGCAGGTTTTGGGGTGGTGGATTCATTGAACCGGAGGTTACGAATGTAAGCTTGCAAGACGGCGGGAAAGGTAGAGTTGGCTGGAGTGTAGATTGCTCCGGCTATCGGAGAAGTAAGCTCGGTTGAATTGAGTAGGCATCGGATAAAGTTTTCATTGGCATTGTTTGAGGTTGCCAATGATTGGGTAAAGAGGAAGATAAAGATTAATGCAAAAAGAGACATTGTTGTGATAAATATGGAATTATACACCATACCACATGATCTATATATAATAAAATTTCAAATAAAGAGAATAATTTTTTTATTTTTAATTATTTAAAAAACTGCAGTATTTTTATGTAGAATTTTAATTAGATATTCATTATTTTCAATACATAAACTATTTACAAGAGACTACTTATCAAAATTGGTGTTTATTACTTCCTTTATTTTAATTTAATTTATTAAATGATTATCTCCGCACCCTAAAAAACGTGTATGGAATTTTAAATAGATTAAATTACACGAATAGTCTTTGTAGTATGATCTAATTTGTGCGTGTTTATTTGGATCACTACCCATTTAATTTGGTAATGTTTTTCTTTTCCATTTTGGTCTATATTCATTAAAATAAACTAATAAAATATATATTCTTACACTAATTTATTATAAATTATTCTAAATATTTTAAAATAATAATAGCATATATAAATATTAAAGCTACGTCATCTTAATAGCCGTTATTTGCAAATTGTGCATGAAAATAAAAATAGTTTTGCTTAGATAAACATATTTTTTGATAAATTGATAATATTATTTCAATGAAATATATCTACAGGTTATGTGTGAATTTGAAATTCCGATATAGGTTTTATTTTTAATATTATTTAAACCTTAATTATTTTTAAATAATTTTAAAACTATCTTTAAATGTATGTTTTATATTAATCTTTTATTTAAACTTTTCATTAGTTTTAAACTATCTCTTTTGAAGAAAATAATTGATTATTATAAAAAATAGTTTTTAATCAACTTTTTGTTAATATGATATTTTGATTTACATCTTATATTTAAAATTTTGAACTATTTAGAAAATATAGGTTTTGAATATCTTTCTTTTATAAGAAGTAGTTTTTGTTCAATTTTTTTTAATTAATTTGGTATTTTGATTTAAGTATATTATATTTAAACTTTTTAATTGTTTAGAAAAAATAGGTTTTGAACCTTTATTTGGAATTTTAATTTATATTTTAAATTTAACATCATATTTAAATTAACAAACTAAATGTATTATATTAATATTGATAAAGTGAAGGTTTTAACTTCAAATTAAGAATATCACATTTATGTTTTGAATTTAACATCATTTAGATTAACAAATTAAATATATTATATTAAAAATAAAGAATTAATATCGAAATTACAATAAAAATGGTTTAATATATTCGTTTTTAAAAAATTGATAAGTTAGGGGTTTCAAATGAATGCGGTGAGTTTTATCGTATATAAATTGTGACATCACCAAATTCACGGTCATTTTAAAAATTTTATTTATGTTTTACTTGAAAATCAGAGTCTCCATTTTAAAGAATAATATTGCGGGATTTGTTCCTAGAAAATATGATAAACATATTATCAAAGCGTTACCGAAGAAATGCATTTTTGTTTATATTAAAACATTAGGATGTCATCGTCAATACAGAAACATAAGCATAAACATGCATTATATTAATTAACACTAATGATTTACATCTTCTTTAATCTCTCAGTGTAATCTCTCATTTACACTAATGATTTACCCCACCCCGTTAATCCTTACAACGACTTGATCCATACTATCGGATCTAATAGCTTTACCTAATTCATACATCCGGATCAGGTATGTCTAATCCAAGCTCTCAAATCAACGAAAAATGACTATGCCCACTCCATACTCTCAGAATGACTATGTCTAATCCATGCCCTCGGATTAATGACAAATGACAATGCCCTCTCCATACTCTTGGACTAAGAACGAATTCGACTATGTCTAATCTATGCTCTCAGATCTATGAAAACTTTTAAAGGTCTAACCTATGTGTATATCTCACCCGTACTCAAAAGAAGATACTACCCAATATTCATCTTAATTAATTTAGGTTCACTCTGTATCCTAAGTCATCATATATTGTCAGATATGCTCCAAACACATATTTCAAGCAATATCAAATATTTCACACACAAACATATTTAATACTTTAACTAATACTTGTATTAAAATCATGTTCAAGAAAAAGACTATGCACTCACTTGTTAAAGTGACAACTCGAAATTCGTGTAGCGCTTCGCTTCTATTAATTTTTTTTTCTTCGACGAAACCTAGAATCATTATTACTAGATTTTAGTCTAATCTTTATGGCGACTAATTATTAGTCTAGATTTATCATTACCTCAAGATTTATGTCATGCTCTTGATGGGTTTTAAGTAGTACATCAATCTTATGGTGTACATGCAAACCCTACAACTTTGGATCTAGTTTGTCTAATGTACATGCAATTATCATCCAAAGCTCATAAACCCTAGATCTCGGATACAATAATCAATATTAACATACGAATTAGGGTTTAGATCTTACCTTGATTGTTATGTAGCAATAACAATCTCAATTCCTCTTGATCTTGACTTTTGAAAGCTTAGTGCCTCAAATGGAGTCACAAACGCCATGAGCAACAAGATGAACAAGGAGAGAGGGAGGAGGCACCAAAAACATCAAAGATACTCCAAGGAATGCTTAGCCACATTTTTGGGAGCCCTAGGGTTCATTTTATACTTATGTGGGCTACTAGGGTTTTGGGTGAAACCCTAATTCTCTGCTTAGGCCTTAAGCAACCCATGGAGTCCCTTTAGAAAGCCCTTGGATGAAATCTATATGCGTTTCTCATAGATTTAGTCCAATCCCCTTTCCATTAGGAATCCATAGACCACAATGCAATTATCTTATAATTACAATATTAGTCCCCCAAGTTTAATTAATCTCTTTTAGTCACAAAATTAATTCCTAATTAATTCTTGACTAATAATAATTAAACAATATGATTTCTATTTTAATATATTATTCATATAATATATTAATAAATCATAATTAATCATCTTTCTCCTTAATTCATCCTATCAGCTGCTATGGTGAAGGCAGCCCAAAAGGACCATGCTCATAATCGGGTCAAGTACTTACCAACATAGTTATGGGCTTAGATACCTAATCTAATAATCTCCCACTTGGATAAGTCTAATAACTATATTGCATATGACTTCAAAACCTGATCAACAATCGTAGCTTTCAAAAGCCGCTATTAGTAATGCGTCCTTTAGATAAGGGATCATATATTCATCCATTGTAGATATCGAATAGATTGAGACATGGATTTAGATCATTTTCTATGTCTATATGTTGTTTCTCGACTTTCGATTTATGACGACTGACAACAGACTACAATTGAACACATCAACTTAGTCCCGGCTTGGCCAAGCACTTAGGGTGTCATCACTAAATCATCGAGGGGCCTACAAATATCGCTTTTATCCCACTTTGGGTAAAAGGAAAGGATAAACTTCGTCTCAAATGCCCGCTTGTACCTACTCATCAAATCACACACAATAATATGTTTTATAACACCAAGTTACTAGTGTGTTTACATATTATCAATGTGCAACAGACTTGCAGAATACAACTCACACATCTCGGTTTCAAGAATATAAGATATTATCATCTCACCAATTACTCTGATTAAATCCATGAAGTGATCCAAGTGAGTATGGGATTAATCCAATACTCTAATCTTATAGCAGCACTCATGAATCCTGCAACAAACTTTTGCTATGTCTAAAACACTTTAGACAATCTCCAGTCAGATTCATGACAGTCTTCTTTCATACTTACTTCCAAAGTATTGTCAACTGTGGAGGGTTTGAATAATCTTATTATTCGGGATATCAAAACATGCAAAGTGAAACATAAGAATAATACTAATCCTATAATCTTATTATTGTCAACTGTGGAGGGTTTGAATAATCTTATTATTCGGCCCCAAACTTTTGAGTATAATAAGACACCTTTATTTAATCACCATATTGATTACTCATTATTTGTTGTTTTGGGTAATCAACTTATTACTTGAATTATAACCACGGTTGTCCCATGCGCCAAGCATGCACACTATGTTTACCTATGATTTTTACTTTATGAAATAGATCAATTGAAAACATTTCCAATGATGCTCATTTCACAATTCCTAATCCTTATCACTAGTATAAGAATACCAAATTCTTCCCACTATTAGAATATGTTAGATTCTAACATTTTATGCAACGATCCTTTTGTAATGTCACAGTACCAAAATCACAAAGACTTTGCCAATGAAATTACAAAGTACTCTATTGGAGAAGAAAATTCCATAGATGTGAAGTCTCACATTTAAAGTACATTTATTTGAACATCCTTCTTGCTTAAAAGTTCCTAATCTAGACATAAATTCTTAACATCCAACTACTAATATGGAAACATTTCCATATTTCCCAACTTATAACTCATTCTAAATAGAGTCTTATCTATTCATAATAATATCAATACGGTCCATCCATTACTATACTTCCAGTTGTCCACAAGCGACCAATCATTGGCGAACCTTAGATTGTCCTTGACAGTTGTTTAATTACTTTAGTCAAATCTGGTTCTAGTCCCTTTTCTCTCTTAATGCCCTAGGCTTTTGGAAAATTTAGAATGGTCGAATATTATAGCATATGTAATTATCCTATACCCGAAGCGTACAAGACATGATCCATAATGAAAAACATGATATTTTACCAGTTTCTTGCTATAATATTTCTATTTGTCATGTTCTCACAATTCGAACTATGAAGAGGGATGTCGTAATCATAATCGAATTTTGAGAATGCAAATAATATATAGCCTTGACTAAATTTAATTAGAATTTCTCGATCTAAGCTTTTAGATTTTGAAACAAAGTACAATATTCTCTCCATTAATTATAGCAAAACAACTTTTCAACCCATGTAACTTTCCAAAGTGAAACTTTTGTTTTCTATAATTAGTATTGCTAACTTGCAATACTTTAAAATAATAATCATGCTCCTACTAAAATGATAATTATATCTATACCAACATAGCATTTATGCTCCCACTAGCTTTGATAAGTATTCAGAAAAAAGTTGGACTTCTAGAAAGCAATACTTATTGACTTATAAA